TCAAACACAACGTGGAAAGCGGAGTGGTGCCCCAGCAGTGCGTGGCGGTAGTGCCTTTACGGCGGCCACCCACGGGAAGCCAGGTGTGAAGAAGGGTAAATGCTTCAACTGTGGGAAGCGTGGTCACTTCAAGAACGAATGCAAGGCGAAGAAGCGACTCATCGGTGCATCTGGCGGTGGGAACAACAGCCAAGGTAACAGCGGTGGCGCAGAGAGCGGTTTTGTCTTCATGTGAGTTCTGTCTCGGACTCAGTGGGAGCCGACTGGATAATCGACTCTGGCGCATCGAGTCACAGGACGGGCGCGCGTGTACTACTGTCTGGTCTGAGCAAGATGGACACAAACGTTGTCGTTACGACGGCTAATGGGATGAAGCTAAACGCGACGCATCGGGAGAAAGCGCACTTGCCACTGGCTACTGGCAGAATGTGCACTTTGGATCACGTCCTGTTTGTGCCTGGGCTGCAACACAATCTCGTCAGTCTTAGCGAGGTCGGAACTGCAGGGCTTGCGGCCACGTTTGATCATGAGCGATGCGTGATTACCAGCGGCAAGTCCAAGCTGGTAGCAACTCGACGAAGCAGTGGTCTGTATGTTGTGGAAGTGCCCAGTACTATCCGTAATGCATGAAGCGGGATACGTGTCTGGTGATCGACTGAACGACTTATCCCTCTGGCACGCCAGGCTTGGACATTTGAACGTTCGAGACTTTGTGAAAGTGCTGAAAGACGGTGGTGTGACAACGCGCGACAAGCAACGGCGCCCCTGAGAGGCTTGCGCAGCTGGTAAATTAGCCAGTTTACCTTTCTTATCGAAGAAACCACGAAAACTTAAGCGCAGGCAAGTCCTGATCGCAATTGACTATGTGGAGCCAATGGAAACGACATCGCGTGATGGTTATACCGGCTTGTTAAGTATGATAATCGAGCCCTACCACTTAGCTGTGGTTTTTCCAGTCAAAGACAAAAGATCGGCTACGCAGCTGCGAGCACTCCGTGAGTGCATTGCAAACTTGAAGGTAGCGGTCCCGAAGGCAAAAGTGTCTGTACTGAAGAGCGACAACGTTGCTGAGTACGGTGGTGGGGAAATGGCCGAGTTCTGCAACGAGAACCTGATTGCGCAAGAGTTCAGCGCGCCGTACACCCCGCAGCAGAACGGCAAAGTTGAGCGGAGCAACCGTGTTGTCATCGAAATGGCGCGATCCATGCTTCAGGCAGCTGGGATGGAAAAGCGCTTCTGGAGCGACGCGGTTTTGGCCGCAGTGTACATTCGAAATCGCTGCCCAACTAAGGTACTAGCTGGGGCGACACCTATCGAAGCACTGACGGGGCGTGTGTCAGTGCTGAGCAAGCTTCGAGTCTTTGGCTGTGATGCTGAAGTGCTGCTCCCCAAATCGCAGCGGCAGAAGCTGGATGCCAAGACGGCGAAAGGAGTCTTATCGGTTACGAGTAAAGCGGTGGGTATCGCTTCTGGGTGCCGAGTGGACGAGGCGGTCTCAGACAGGTCGTCATATCACTTACGGCAGTCTTTTTCGAGTCTTAAATCCCTAAAAACAAGTTAGTGACACTAGAGGGAGAGCTGCCAGCAGCGACACAGCCTGAGCCAACCAGTGAGATTGTGCCGGTTGGGCTGGATACAGAACAAGAAGACGTGGAAATGGAACCTGCCGAACATGATACATCGGCCGCCGGAGAAGAACAGAGGCAGCACATCGTTGACCCCCGCATGGAAAAGCAAGTTGTTCGTCGCAGCACTCATATCAAGAAGAAAAGTGTTCGCAGACTCGAATTTGAGGAGTCGCACAACGCGAAGGAAATGGCATTGGTGAGTGAACTCCAAGACCCACTCACGCTGCAAAAAGCCATGTCTCGTCCGGGTGCGGAGCAGTGGTGCCAAGCTATCAACGCAGAGCTGGACAGTTTGAGACGCAATGGCACCTACGAAGAAGTGTTTCTTCCAGCGAACGTACGTCCTGTGCAAACCAAGTGGGTATTTCGTCGTAAGACCCTCGCAAACGGATCCTTGGACAAGTACAAAGCCCGGCTAGTAGCCAAAGGATTCACGCAGCAGTATGGAGTGGACTATACAGAGACCTTCAGCCCCGTCGTTCGTCATGACTCAATTCGAGCCATTCTGGCTTTGGCTGTTCAACTTGGCTGGGACATCTTCAACTTGATGTGCAAACGGCATTCTTGAACAGCAGCCTATCAAAAGAGATCTTTGTAACCCCC